TTTAGTTTGAACTTTCATGTGAGTATGTGATGGTCTGTTCCACAGTCACCACCTGGGCTGGTTCTGACTGCTAGCAATGAGCTTCTCCAGAATGTCTTTCCACAGATATAGTCAATCTGATTCTTGTGTAGCCATCAGGTAAAATCAGGTATAGTCCAGGTAAAATCAGGTATAGTCCGTGTTTATGGATTTTTAAAAAATGTATTTGCAGTGAATAAAACATTCATTGTACACAATTTTATAATTTTGCACAATCTCCAGTCTCATTTCTGTCACCAGGGCCATATTTTCCAACTCCCAGCCCTTCTTCTTCATTTCCAACTTTTACATTCCAGTCCCCAAATATTAAGAAGGAATCTTTTTTTTTTCATGTTTTAAGGTGTATTTTTATTTACAAAGTGAGATGATGTATCAGTTACAAACAGATACCTGATAATACCATTTTCATGAAAAAGTATATAAATATATTACAGGAAATTCTATGTAGTAAACATTAGAAATTGATACAAGTAAACATTTGCTACTTCTTTTTTCTATGCCAATATTATTGTCATTTTAAAGCTTAAATACTGGTTTCAAGTATCCCTTATAAAAGAACTCTATTAAAATACAGAAAAAGAATTTTGCTATACACAATATTGGTGCATTATAAGAAGGAATCTTGATTGCATGTTCAATCAATTTAGGATTACAAAAGTTCATAGAAATTCTGTTTCTTCATCTTTGGCTTCTGTGGTTGGTGCATATATTTGAATTAGAGTTGGTAAGAAGCTGCACTGCAATCTTAAAGGCACATAGTTCAAATCCACCAGATGCTTCTCGAGAGAAGGATGGGCAATCTCCTCCCGTGTAATTAACTCCCTCTGAAAACCCACTGGAGGGTCAGCTATGTGTCAGTTCTGACTTAATGGCATACAACAACAACAACCTTTTATCTGTATGGATATTATTTTGTTACTGACAGTATTCCATTTCAGGGTGGATCTTGAAATGCTCTTTTTGACAATGAATGCCACACCATTCCCCTTCAATCTGTTATTTCCGGTAGATCGTGTGACTACCTAATTAGACAATCCACTTCATCTCAGTTGACTAGTAGCTAGGATGCCATCTTTAGGCATTTCAATTAATTTTTTACAACTTCCAATTTTCCTACACTCATACTACATACATCCACATTTCAGTTATTTGTGGGTGTTTGCAGCATTTTCTCCACATTTTGAGTCTCTCTACAGCATCAAATGAAAGTCCTTCACTGGGTGAAGAAAGCTGTTTTCCATCCATATCATTACAGTAGACTTGACTTTGAGGAGATAGCTTTTCCTCCACTGCATTTTGAGTGGCTTCTAACCTCATCTTCCAGCATTATATCTGAAAATGTTCTTCCATTGTTTATAAGGTTCTTGAAGCCCTGTTATCTCAGAAGTGTATGGCTTGCCCTGCTTTTTAGTCTGTCTTAGTCTGGAAGCTCTGCTAAGACCTGTTCACCACCATTAGCGAGTGACACTGCTGGTATTTATAATACCTGTGGCATAGCTTCCAACATCACAGCAGCATGCGAGCCACCACAGTTTGGCAAATAGACTTGTTATTGTTGATTGACTCATAGCAACCCTATGAACAAAAAACCTGAAGCCTCTACAACTATCAACATTTATCAATGTTCACAGGGTTTCTGGAGGCATGTTATTTAGGAAGTGGATGCCACTCCTGCTTCCAAAAATAGACAAGTAGTGGCACCTAACTGCACTCCTGTGAAACCTACATACACCAAGAAGCAGTTGTTTGAGCAACACAAGAGGGGGGAAAAGCACGGTTTACAATCACGAAAGGTATGCATCAGGGCTGAATTCTTTCTCCATACCTATTCAATCTGTATGCTGAGCAAATAATTTGAGAAGCTGAACTACATTCAGAAGAGTATAGCATCACAGTTGGAGAAAGACTCATCAACAGCTTGTGTTATGCAGAGGACACCACCTTGCTTGAAGAAAGTAGATTCATTGAGGAAAATAAAAAAACATACAGCCTTAAATATACATGACATTGTAATTTCATTTTCATTGAATCCACAATCAACGCCTATGGTATCAAGAAATCAAAAGATGTATTGTGTTGGGCAAATCTGCTGTCAAGACTTTTTCAAAGTACTCAAGATCAAGGAGCTCAGTATTATTCAAAATGGGTGGCCCTGGAGGACATTATGCTGAGTGAAATATCTCAGTCACAAAGGGAAAATACTGCATAGTGCCACTGTTGTAAAACAGGACTGACATTGGGGTTGGGGGGAGACTGAGAAAGATGGGTTAAATAATGTATACTGCATTGAAACAGATGAGGGAGAAAACGGTTTAAAAGGGATATGTGATTAGGTATTATTGTCATGAAAGGAGTCCAGAACAAAGGCTGCATAGTGGAGTGGACCTGGGGGGAGAGATTGTAAAACAATGGGGGAACTTTTACTTTTTAAAGAGAAGAGTGTACTGGGGGGTGAGGGGTAGGCAGGGAGAAAAGTGCAACAATAAATGAATGGAAATCCAAAGTCTGTAAATTTTCATTACAATTAATAAAAAAATGATAAAAAAATTTTAGATGTCTCTTATCAGATATGTGATTGTTGTTGTGTACTGTTGAGTCAGAACCGACCCATAGCTGACCCTCTCGGGGTTTTTCTGAAGCCGCTAATAGAACATGGAACACCTGGTGAATTCAAACCATGTACTTTTGAGATTGCAGGGCAGTTTCTTGCCATTAGGCCAGCAGAGCTTCCTGACATGTCATTGTCAAATATTTTTACCCAGTGTATGGGTTTCCTTCTTACCTTGTTGGAGAAGTTTTTCTTGATGTCCTTAGAGGTTTGATTCTTAGGGCTCATTCATCTGTTTTATCCTCTCTTGATTGTAGTTTTTTCCCATTATGCTTGGAAGATTGTTCATGCTGTGGATTAGGGTTTCTGAAGTTCTTCCTAGATTTTCCCTAATGAATTTTATAGTCTTTAGTTCTATTTCTAGGTTTATGATCCACCTTGAGTTGGTTTTTGTGTCTGGTATGAGGTGTGGGGTCTTGATTAGGTTTTTTGCAGATGGTTTTCCAGTTTTGCCAACATCATTTGTTAAAGAAGCTGTGATTTCCCCACTTACCTCATTTTATCTCCTTGTCAAAGATAACTTTGATTGTAGATGGATGAGCTGATTTCTGAGTTCTCAATTCTATACCATTGATGTATGTGTCTGTTGCTGTGTGAGTACCATGCTGTCTTGACCATCACTGCTGTGTAGTAGGATTTGAGACCAAGAAGTGTGATGCTAAAAAAAAAATAGAAAAAAAAAAGAAGTGTGATGCTGCCTACCTTGTTCCTCTTTTTCAGTAGTGTTTTGCTTATTCTGGATCTCTTTCTAGTCCAGATAATATTGGAAATTTCCTTTTCCATCTTGTTGCAGAATATAATTGGTATCTGTATTGGGACGACACTTTAGATTGCCTTTGGTAGAACTGTCATTTTCCGGATACTGAGTCTCCTGTCCATGAGTATGATATATTCTTTCATTTCTTCAGGTCTATTTTTGTTTCTTGCAGTCCTGTTTTGTAATTTCCTTTATATAGGCCTTTTGTGTCTCTAGTTAAGATTATTCCCAAGTACTTAATTTTGCAATTAACTATTGTAATTGATCTCATTTTTCTTAATTCCATTTCTATATTCTCTTTGTCACTGTAAAGGAATCCAGTTGATTTTTGTATGTTGATATTGCTCCCTGCTACTTTGCTGAATTGATCAACTATGTCCAATAGTTTTATTGTTGAATCTTTACGGTTTTCTAAGTATACCATCATATGAGATGCATATATATTTTACCATGGAAGTTAGTTTTAAAGACTAAATCCCAACTGACCCAAGTCATGGTATTTTATAATTGCTTTGTATGCATATGAAAGTTAGAAAACAGTAAGAAAGACCCAAGAAGAATCTCAAACAAGTCTATCTTAGAAAAAGTGTAACCAGGGTGCTCATTAGAGGCAAAGATGGCTCACATACTTTAGGCATATTGTCAGGAGAGGTCATTCCTTGGAAAAGGCATCAGTGAAAGAGAGGCAGACCTTCCACAAAATGGTTTGACACAGTGACTGCAACAATTGGCTTAATCATTGTGGGAATGGGATGGGGATGATGTAGAACAGGCAAGATTTGTTGTTAATATGCATCTGTTATATATATATATGGTGGCCTAGTGGCAAGAAGCTGCGCTGCAATGCCTAAGATATGTGGTTTGAATCCACCAGCTGCTCCGCGGGAGAAGGATGGGCAATCTTTTCCTGTGCGATCAGCTGCCTCTGAAAACCCGCTGGAAGGTCGGCTATGGGTCGGTTCTGACTCGACAGTATGCAACAAAAATCTATAACTACATAACATGCGCGCGCACGTGTGTATATGTATGCATATATATGTGCATGCATCTGTTGTTTATAGGGTCGCTATGACGGATTCATAGTTGACTGGAAGGCACCCAATACCAACACAGAACTATCTGCAAAATTTGTCTCTTTGACTGTATCGCTCTATCTTTTCCTCCCTTTCTGTTAACTCACATTCATCGTTGAAAATTCTGCCGTGACTGAGCCTCCGCCTGGGGGTTTCCCCTCCCGCTCTTCCCTTATGATCCCATAGCAACCAGTGCTCTTAGCTTTCTGAGCTTTTAAGTGCCTAACCGACCTAAATGAGGTTAGTTGTAATTGAATTAAAACGTACGTTATTTTCTAGCTTAGACCTCTGACCAAATCCTTTTTCTCGAATGACGTGTAACAAGGTGATTGCACTGCCACACGGATTCCAGATACCAGTGCTCAGAGAGGTTCTCCTGACCTCCATTCCCAACAGGTTACCGCCCGCAGCGCCTCTCCCTGACAACGAAGCCCCGGATTGGCGGGAGCGGTGCATGTCGGGAGCCGCTGGGCCTTCGAAGGGCTTGCCGGTAATTGTAGTTCTGACAGCCGGAAGTGGGGGTGGCAGGAACAGAAACCGCAGCTGAGGCAGCAGTCAGTGCCACCGCCGTCACCCGGCTTTAGTGCATCACCCGGTGCTCATCCGCTGTGGGTGTTTCCTTCGTATCTGGAGGCTTCCGAGAGCCCTGAGGTCCGAAGTGTCAGTGTCGCCTCTCCTCTGCGAAGAGGCAGCCTTGCAGTCCCCTATGCGGCCCGAGGGCGCGGGAATGGAGCTCGGCGGCTGCGAGGAGCGCCTGCTGGAGGAGAGCAGGTGGGTGGGGAGGTGTCAGGACGGATGTATTCGCCAGAGCCAAAGGGGGTTGGAAGAGGTCGGGAGTCTAGGGGAGAAGTGCTGGGCGGCACAGACCTGAGGATGATTGCTTTGGGTGATTTGTGCTTTGGGTGATTTGTTTGGCAAGAATTTCTGTAAGGAAGGAGGAGCCGTGGGTGGGTAGGACAAGGGAGTGGGCTTAGTGAGGGTGACGTTGGGTGGATAGGACTTGAGCATATACGGAGCCAGAAATTGGTGAAGCTCAGATCCATGGCTGCTAGAGAAGGGGTGGATACTCTGATTGTGATAGAAGACTGAGGTGCAGTAATGAGTTGCTATAGGCCTGTATATCGAGACTAGGTTGGTGCCCCGATGGAGACTTGCAATGACAGCAAAGTTGCATCAATGTTAAGAGAGTGATGTAAATTTCAGGGAACAAAGATTAGACAACCGGGGAGGGTTTGAAAGAAGCTAAATGTAAGTAGGGATGCGTGTTGGTGAAAAATCCGGAGGACTTGTGGATGAAAGTGGGCGATTGTAATGACAGTGAGGGTATGTGGTAGTGGGGGCCTGCTAATGAGGCTAAAATTGTGCTCAAACCTTTTACCAGTGTTGGATCCCTGTCAGAGTGTGGCAGGAAATTTTTGTCATTTCCTTTTCATCTTCAAATCCTGAACTCATTCCCCACAATGCAGACTAAGCAATGTGACATTTATAGGAAACTGTTGCCAGAAAAAGCACCCTCGTGGTGCAGAGCTTTAATGCTCAGCTGCTAACTCCAAGGTGAGCATTTGGAAAACATCAGTGGTTCTTCAGGAGAAAGATGTAGCAGTCGGCTTCCATAAAGATTGACAGTCTTGGGAGCCTCATGGGACAGTTCTACCCTTTCCTGTATGGTGTGACTGAAATGGACTCTGTTTTGAATTGCCAGAAAGTGTTTACCTTCTTAAAAATGAAAAGTTAAGATTTTTTAAATGGACTTTTTTTTTTTTTTAAAAAAAAAAACAAAACAAACCCACACCTCTAATTCACAAATTGTGAATTGTACTTTGGAGAGACTTCTCATATTTAGGGTTTGTTTAATTAGTAACTCTGGTCTTACTTTCTTTTAACAGTATGGAGTGGTAATAAAATATAGAGCAGAAATGTTGCTGAAGAGAATTAACCTTGGCTATCAAAAACAGTTTCAGAGATAGTGATGGTTTAAGAACAGCTGTGCCCCAAAGACTGGAGGATAAATATTTACCTTTGAGAAAATGTCAACAAAGGAAAATTAATGAGAGGTTTTGCCTGAATGAAATGATGGCTGTTTGTAAGGGTACACCTTATTTGTAGGTACAGAAAACTTATGCAAAATCTAGACTGATAAAACTTTTTGGAGCGGTTACCTAAGATCTATTAATGATTTGCGCTAAGTGAAATGGAACATCTTACTTCCCTTTTCCAGCTTTCAATTTCTGCTTATGTATACATTTGCTGTTTCTTCTTTCTCCAGATGTCTGAAATGCTTCATGTAAAAGGCCCCATGTAAAGTCTAAAGAAATTTTTGTATTATGATTTCCCTCCACAAGGTCATATGGGAAAGTCTTAGTTAGAAATTAAAATTCAGAAATTTTCCCTACCTTGAGAGAGCTCTGGTGACCTAGTGGCAAGAAGCTGTGCTGTAATCCCAAAGGCACATGGTTTGAATCCATCAGATGCTGTGCTGGAGAAGGAGGGGCAATCTCCTCCTATGCCAATAGGATCCCACTCAGTGGTATACAACAAGAAAAAAGTAAAATTTCCCTACCGAGCTGGACATCTGCCTGAGTAGGTTCTTCTTCTTATGAAACATTTAGTTGTGCTTTCAATGAAAGTATACAGTGGAAATTAGTTTTCCATTTAGTAGTTGATGCACAGGTGTCTCGTGGCATTGGTAGCCATCCCTGCACTATATCAGCACCATCCTTATTCTGTCTTGAGTTCCCGGTTTTCATATGTTCAGCTAGTTCTTTATTTAATATATTTAGCAAGCACTATTTTAAGACCTCATATTTTTATTTACTGAATCCTTTGAGTAACTTAATTTTTATTTAAACATT